AATCGTGAGGTACAGATGAAGAGGAATATCAGCGACAGGTAGATTACATTTATAAGAAATGTTCAGTTTGATGAGAGTGCAGAGATTTTTATTCAACCAAGGAGTGAGTCGGTATGTTGGCACCACTCAATAGAGTATTAACCACACGATTGTCTGTGAACATTGCAGGAGATGAAGGGTCTCTCATGACATTAATGCCAAAGGTCGTCTTGTCTTGCATGATTATATCTAGAATGTTGTAAGCTTCAGTTGTCCCTCATGTTAATGGTTCTTGAGCATCTTGCGGCACCAAGAATTACCCCTCATGGCTTCTTTCTGTATTCCTTCTAGTTTGTTTAAAACAGAGGCGCGGGCAAGTTAGCTGCATGGCATGGTAATCAACTAGAGATCTTACAAATATCAAGTAAAATATTCTAGAATATTTAACATTGATACCAATATATCTACCAGTAAGTGTTTTCAGTGGTTTAAGTCTTTCATTTAACTTATAATGTTGATCGTTTACTATGTCACTGTTGATACCTACTCCAAGGTATTTGTGCTGCCCATTTGTTTCCATGTTTCAATAGTTGACTTTGAGAGCTAAAGGAGATATCTGTTCTTCTGTCAGGGATGAAAATCTCTAGATTTAGTTACAAAGAGAGCAAGACTGTTCAATACTTTTACCAGCGAGTGAATAAGGTAGAACTTGCAGTTTAGTTTGGGTATTTGCAATATACAAATGTTACCATCATAACAGATGGCAGTTTCATCAGCTAGTGTGGGAATGGTAAGTAATAATATGTTCATCAGGACATTGAAGAGTGTTGAGCCAAGAACTCCACCCTGGAGTGTACTAAACTCGAAGGTTGCAGAATGTATACTGTTGATCCCCTTGTAAAGTCTTGAGGCGGTTCTCATCCTCATCAATGTCAACAGTCTAAACTACAAGAGAGGTAATGTAATTATAAGGAGAAAGCGCTAAGCCATTACGACTATATAGCAACTAGCCTCCAGAAGAGACAAGCTGTTCTAAGATGATCTGTTTGTCGTACCAAAAGCAGTATGCAGATCAATAAATGACTCCTGAGAACTCAGTTCCTGCCTAATAAACTATTCGTCAAAGCGAGTTTGAGTGCTTCTTCCTGGAAGGAAACCACTCCTTAGGGGCTAACTGGGGTCCAGTCTGATACATTAACCTGTCCAGGATGATCCTCCCAAGAACTTTACACATACAGGAAGTCAGAGAGATGCTCTGAATTTTGGTAAATTTGACTTGCGTGTGGGTACCAAACCGAGGTGGTACCTGTGTATTGACCCCACACACACGTCAGGACACAGAGATGGTGGTACCTGAGTATTGACCCCACACACAAGTCGACATTGTCAGTCGAATGAAGAATTTGTGGGCGACCTGGAAGAGGTAAACTCCAGACGCCATTTTGAGGTCGGTAAGCAAGCGTCGTCACTCCTGCCCTTTAATTACCACAGTTTGCCTAGTACAGAGAGGATAAGTGCCCAGAGATCTTATCCTCATGTTCAGATATACGAATTAGTCATGCATGTAGTGGATACTGAGGGAGCTAGACCTCACCCCACTGGAGGAGAGGAAGCACAGGGGGGACATGACAGAGATATACAAGATTCTAATAGGAAATTACAATGTAGGCAATGAAGCATTGTTCAAACCTAGAAGCAACAGAACTACCTAGCACAGATGAAAGCTTAAGACACCCATGAGCTCCAGAGACGTCAGGAAGAATTTATTTAGTGTTGCAATTGCCGATATGTGGAGAGGCAACACAGGACCTGCTGGATGCTACTCAACACGGTATGATATGAATGTCTTGGGAGAAAATGTGGGAACTGAGTTAATGCAATATACTAAGAATGTTCGGATGGAGGAGGTAGGCGGCGATGCTCGGCTCTACTAGCATATTAGGTCAGTACATACACACTCCCACGCACTCTTCCCTCTCTCCCACTCACTCTTCCCTCTCTCCCACGTCGCACTCTTCCCTCTCTCCCACGTCGCACTCTTCCCTCTCTCCCACGTCGCACTCTTCCTACATACTCTTCTCACCCTCCCATGGAGTCTTCCCACACACTCCTCCCACTCTCACACGGACTCCCACTCTACCAAACAACTTTCATAAGCCAGACAACAACAGCCTTTCCTGCTTATCAAAGTTTCCAGTCTGGTTCCCACGTGGCCTGACCTGCCAGCTTTGTGTTCGTGGGAGTACTCACCTAGTCCTGCTCGCCTAGATGTGCTTATGGTGGTTGAGCTTCGGCTCTTTGCTCCCGCCTCTCGACTGTAAATCAACAGGTGTACAGACTGCTGAGCCATTGGGACTCTTTCATATCTATACTTGAAACTGTCAGTGGAGTCAGCCTCCACCACATCATTGCCTAATGCATTTCATTTGTTAACTACTCAGACACTGAAAAAATTCCTTCTAATATCTCTGTAGTGCATCTGGGTACTCAGTTTCAATCTGTGTCCCGTAGGGCGTATTTCTCTTGTGTTAAAAAATTGCCTTCATCTACCCTATCAATTCCTCTGAGAATCTTTTACGTGTTGATCATATCTCCTCTAACTCTTCTTCCAGCGACGTGAGATTCAGTTCCCGTAGTCTCTCCTCGTAGTTCATAACCCTCAGCTCGGGGGCTAGTCTGGGGGCATCCCTCTGAACCTTCTCCAATTTAGTCATGAGCTTGACTAGATTGGGGCTCTACTTAGGAGCTGCATACTCCAGGATCGGTCTGACATATGTCGTATATAAGGTTCTAAATTATTACTTACAATCTAGCATATGCCGCTGATGTTATCCTCTTGATGTGGGCTTCAGAGGACAGGTCTGGTGTGATATCAACCCCCCCCTGTGCTAGCAGGGGTGGAGCCTCACCCCCCCTGTGCTGGCAGGGGTGCAGCTTCAACCCCCCCCCCCAGTGCTGGCAGGGGTGGAGCCTCACCCCCCCTGTGCTGGCAGGGGTGGAGCCTCACCCCCCTGTGCTAGCAGGGGTGGAGCCTCACCCCCCTGTGCTGGCAGGGGTGGAGCCTCACCCCCCTGTGCTGGCAGGGGTGGAGCCTCACCCCCCTGTGCTAGCAGGGGTGGAGCCTCACCCCCCCTGTGCTGGCAGGGGTGGAGCCTCACCCTCCCCCCCTGTGCTGGCAGGGGTGGAGCCTCACCCCCTGTGCTAGCAGGGGTGGAGCCTCACCCCCCTGTGCTGGCAGGGATGGAGCCTCACCCCCCTGTGCTGACAGGGGTGGAGCCTCACCCCCCCTGTGCTGACAGGGGTGGAGCCTCACCCCCCTGAACTGGCAGGGGTGGAGCCTCACCCCCCCTGTGCTGGCAGGGGTGGAGCCTCACCCCCCTGTGCTGGCAGGGGTGGAGCCTCACCTCACCACTCAGGTATCGCTCGGTAAATACTCTAACTCATTTCCTTCTTGCACTTGATCATATATATTTTACAAACTGTTTAATAAGCGAGTTGTTTTAATCAACGTGGCTGATAAATGTTTACAACTCGATCCCCTTGTTCAACTATTTCGTATCTTGGACGTCATTTATGTGTCATATTTTGTCGATCCCCCTTACAATTTTGTATGTCCTTATGATGTCTCCTCCTTAGAGAAGACTTCCTAAAACAGCGGGACTATGTTTGTTTTTCCTAGCACTATTTCTAGTGCTTCTCAGTTCTTCAACAGCCATTGTTACTTGCTTTTTGACATTCTCTAGCACCGTTTTGAGTTTTTTTTTATTGGGGCAAGTGTTCAGTACTAAAACTGCATACTTCAGTGTGTGGTATGTCAGAGGGGCATACTTCAGTGTGTGGTGTGTCAGAGGGGCATACTTCAGTGTGTGGTGTGTCAGAGGGGGCATACTTCAGTGTGTGGTATGTCAGAGTGGCATACTTCAGTGTGTGGTGTGTCAGAGGGGGCATACTTCAGTGTGTGGTATGTCAGAGGGGCATACTTCAGTGTGTGGTGTGTCAGAGGGGGCATACTTCAGTGTGTGGTGTGTCAGAGGGGGCATACTTCAGTGTGTGGTATGTCAGAGGGGGCATACTTCAGTGTGTGGTGTGTCAGAGGGGGCATACTTCAGTGTGTGGTGTGTCAGAGTGGCATACTTCAGTGTGTGGTTTGTCAGAGTGGCATACTTCAGTGTTTGGTATGTCAGAGGGGCATACTTCAGTGTGTGGTATGTCAGAGTGGCATACTTCAGTGTGTGGTATGTCAGAGTGGCATACTTCAGTGTGTGGTATGTCAGAGTGGCATACTTCAGTGTGTGGTATGTCAGAGTGGCATACTTCAGTGTGTGGTATGTCAGATGGGCAATATACTTCTAGAGAAGTCCATACGAGCACCATACAAGTCCATACGAGCACCATACAAGTCCATATGAGGACCATACAAGTCCATACGTGCACATACAAGTCTATACGTGCACATACAAGTCCATACGAGCACCATACAAGTCCATATGAGGACCATACAAGTCCATACGTGCACATACAAGTCTATACGTGCACATACAAGTCCATACGTGCACCATACAAGTACAGCTGAATATGAACAATAATACCTTGAGATTAAATTAATTAAGCTGGTGTCCCAGCCCGTCCTCTTAAGGCTACCCAATGTCAAGAAACATTCGTACTAAAGTTCCCTTATCCTAACCTACCAGAGGACCCAAAACAGAAAACGGGACAGTATGTCAATTTCGCAAGATGCTCCCATTTTCTAGTACGACAATGTTTGGCCTTAGGTGGAGTATACGTCAAAATGCGACGCTCTATTAGGAGTTCGGGTTGGGTGCCGAGGATCCACCCAGAATCTTAGCAGACTTTATGATTTGTGGTCAACCAGGCTGTTAGACGCCGCTGCTCGCAGCCTGACATATTTATTACAGCGCGAGACATTAAAAGACAATTAAAGAATATAAAGATATACTTAAGGGATATTAAGATCTAATTAGGACTAATATTAGTAAGGAGCAGACGAGGTCAACACTCACCAAGCACCAGGAGGCAGACGAGGGTGGTGGGGAGTCCAGGGGTCATCTTGGGGGCGTTTCGCAGGCTGCCCACACCATGCCTGAAGAGGTCAAAGGTCACGGGTCAGTTAGTGCTGTAATGAGACGAGGCAGAGTGACTGGTGAACAATTGTCTCACATACACAGTACATGAAGGCACATGAACAGTATACCTATACATATTAACATATGCAGTTATATAAATACACATTAATATATCAAGATTACAAATACACATTACAATATACACTATACAAATTCACATTTAGAGTACACAAGTACTCATACAGTATTTCAGTATGCAAGCACATATATAAATACAGTATAGTATACAAATACACGACCAAACTCATTACTGTATTTACATATATGTATATATTAGCAGCAGGTTTTCATTTATACATGTTTCTCTGAATATGTCTGCATATTCTATATTGATTCTTTTCTTGTTTAGGGCTTCTATCCCTCTGACTAGTGCTCTTGCATCTTGGTTTAGTTGGAAGAAGATTTCTCCAAATGTCACCTTTGTTCTAGGTGAAGAAAAATATTTTACTGTGGAATATATTACACATTATAAATTTACACAACGTTTCGAACCAACATGGTTCATTCTCAAGTGAAGGGGATAGTGCTGGCATATTGGATTTATACCATAAGGGAGGTCAGGTGCATAAAACATGAAAGTGAGGAGTACATCGTAAAGGAAGAAGAGGGCATAAATGGGGGAAGGATAGGGGGACGTAAATAGGGACGAAGCACATACAAAGATTAATCAGGTGTAGTGGGCATGTCATGTTGAGCAGCGTCTTCTATGTTCTTCTATCTTCACGTTCTGGTCTTGTTCTTACTCTCATGGTGGGTAGAGGAAATAGTTCCGTAATTTGGGTATTTATGGTGGATTGTTTTATTTGTATGTGGATTACTTCAAGAACTCGTAATCTTCTTACATCTTGGGTTTTGTCTATTATACAAGTGTTTTTATTCATCATTTCTCTTATTAGGGTGATGTCATGGGCTTGTCTCATGTGATTCCTGGAGGCACCGGATTGAAGATGACAGGTCAAACACCTCGTCAGCTTGGTCGACGTCATACCTATGTACTTGGACTAAAGGTTAAATCCTTCGTGGGGACAAGTGTACATGTATACACCGTTTGACTGCTCTAAAGGGTTATCCATCGGCTTCGGACTGTTTTTAATGAGGAGATCGATAGTCTTCTTTGTTTTATAATTAATGATTAGGTCTGTGTTTTGGTTAGGGTTCAAAACCCTATGTTTTGGTTCAATACATACCTAATCATATTCTGGGGTGTGCTGTCACACTCCAGCACCACTGTCACACCCCAGCACCATCCCACCACTGTCAGAACCATAATATGTGACTGAGAACCATAATATGTGACTGTGAAGATATAAGGTAATCAATAAGATAATCAAGAGAAGGGAAGTGCGTATAACCACTAGGACCATCGGAGAGTTCGAACGCCGACCCAGCAAGAAGCGAGGCCGTCGCTGTACCGACCAGTGCAAGCGGATTCAAATAATACCAGAACCTTGGATGATAATTAGCAGAATACTCGTCAGTGAGTTTTAAAGTACTTTGATACGGTCTTTTGAAACAAAAACTGAGAGTTATGGGTGTGTAAGAAATTGTAAAATGAAAAATGCTGCGTTCTTCACTGACGACTTCGTAAAATTAGAGCCAGAGTGCAGGACTATGAGTCACAATAATGCGGTTGAAGATATAATGACAAACCACACACCAGAAAATGGAGAAATTACGACGTTTCGGTCCGTCCTGGACCATTATCAAGTCGTGTGCGATATGACATACTACTTCATAATGGTTCAGGAAGGACCGAAACGTCGTCGTTTCGCTATCTTGTGATGTGTGGTTTGGTCATCATAGAGTCGGTATCTGTGCCTGCTCAGTCCACTCTCTGGCCTGGTGACTCGCGGCGTCCAGTGCCTCGTCCCCAGCATGCTGTGAGGTTTATAATGGTTTTTCCTGCAGAGTTTCAACGGACGAGGAAAATGATATTTTATCTCCGAATTCAGGTTATCGCCTGCATATAAATGGGTCAATTATGTAAACACTGAGTTCTGGTAAGGTTTGGCATCACTTTAAGTGTGGAATATGTGGTCATTGACGGCCGTGAAGTGCTGGACTCAGCTTACACAAAATATTTAATTTAGATAACATAACAAGAAAGGATATGATATTTCGTATCATGTATGAAATATACATTTAAATTAGGGTCTTGATGTACATTTGGTTTTGTTTTCGATTGACAGTCGAAGATCCCTGGTTCGATTCTCGGGAGGGACAGAAACAGTTGGGCACGTTTCCTTTCATCTAATGAACTGTTCCGCTGGACTAGCGAATAACTGTTAATATGGCATCTTAATATGAACATGAGGTTTACATAGCATCGAGGAAGTTACATATGGTGTATGTACAGATTACATCAGAAAAATGTTGACCCCCTGAGGGATTCGACCCGGACAGCCCCTTGGCATGTCCAGTACTGTACCACTTGGCCACACTGACTGCAAAAGTATTGGAAGTTGTCTGACCCTTAACCCAAGACCCGACAGCTCTCGTTGACCATTTTGGGCACAGAAATTACATCAAATCATTTCATCATGCTGGTGTCGCGTGGGTAACAGTTGTGCGTTGAGCTTGAATGGTCCCCAAGCCAACATGCATTAGAAAACTCTTGACCTCTAAAGGATTCGAACCAGGACAGCCAGAGCCGGATTCAGGCAATTGCTAAGAGTTTTCTGGTGCATGTTGGCTTGGGGGACCATTCAAGCTCTTACAAGGTTGTTGTTGTTGTCTTAGATTCAGCTAATCAGAAAAAGTTCCAAATAGCACGGGCTATGGTGACCTCGTAAGTGGAGGCTATTTGGAGCCTCTTACAAGGTTGCTGTTTAAGATTCGCTACTTGGAACAAAAAGTTCCAAGTAGCACGGGCTATGGTGAGCCCGTTGAGGACTTACCTGGCACAGGAGCGGGGCTGTAACTTGTCTTACAGCCCCGCTCTTTTCTTACAAGGAAAAATGTTGACATATATAAGTGTGGGTACTCCTCACTCTACGAGTCACCTAACTCCCTTAATTGTAGCGAGCGGCGAAGGGAAGGGTGAGGTAAAAGTTTCTGTCTTTGTCAGACCGAGACTGGAGGCGATGCTTCGGAATAGTGTCACATTTTTCCCAGTAACTGTTGTTGGGTACGTGCCCATCATTGTTGGGTCATAACTGGTATAAAATAAACGTATCTCATGACACTGCAACATCACCCTCGCAAAAATCTCTCAATGCCATGTGACTCGAATCATAATGATGATGATAATGAATATACCCACAAGGGCTTTGATGAGGGTTCGAACCTATGCGCTGGATGATCCTAGACGCGCTCTAGGCAACTGTACACTTGAGTTGTTCATTAGATATATCACGTTATTGTGATTTCTGTGTGTAATAATAATAATAATAATATTGATAACAATAATAATTTACTTATTTTATATTAAAAACTTCTGTACTGATGTTGCCAAAATAAACAAAAATCTAATCATAATATTTACTCTTTAAAAACAAAAAACTTTGATGTATATTTTTCACTTTACTTTATGCATGGTGTGTTGAAGCGACTGTGTGAGTAAGTGTTCTTACAGTGTTATTATTGATACTGGTGTGTGTGTGTGAGAGAGAGAGAGAGAGAGAGAGAGAGAGAGAGAGAGAGAGAGAGAGAGAGAGAGAGAGAGAGAGAGACAGAGAGAGAGACAGAGAGAGAGACGGAGAGACAGAGACAGAGAGAGAGAGAGAGAGAGAGAGAGAGAGAGAGAGAGAGAGAGAGAGAGAGAGAGAGAGAGAGAGAGAGAGAGAGAGAGAGAGAGACGGACAGACAGACAGACAGACAGACAGAGAGACAGAGAGACAGAGAGACAGACCTTAATCACAATGTTTACACTCACGCTCATAAATTAACTCAGCCTCTCAACAAGTGCGTCTCAGTTCTACGCTAAGGTCCCTAACGGCCAATTACAAAGTACTATGAAAGCAGCGGTTCACAAAACTGCACATTTGTAATGCCGCAGTTGGCTAGTTGAGGCGGGTTGCTTGGGTTGGTGCGTTTCAGGTTAACTTGGCACTTTGTATCTGTACATTGTGGTAAACCAGGAGAACAGCTAGACAATCGACGACGAAATGTGCTGGTTCCTCTTTGCCATGATTCTTGCTTTCTCATGCGCGGCCACACGTTGCCCAAGCGGTCTCGCTCCTTATTACGCCGAGGAACTTGACTAATACAAGAGGGTGACGAGGTCAGCACCACTCCCCAAGAATCACTCCCATAGATATGTCTTATTTTAATTTCCCAGCCCAACTTTTAGTCTTAGTCAACAAAGACACCGTGGGAGGAAAGCCTTACCCTTTTGATTGGGTCAAGATTCTCATCACTGATTTGACAGTCGACCAGATGCTGTCTCTCTATGGCGCTCTTGACTGTGTTACACAGTTTAGCCACCCACAGCGGTACCTTGATGGACACAGTCAAGCCACTTATGTCAGAACCTTGTTATAGAGAGTTAAGGGAAGGGAACTACCAGAAGAATGCGCCAAGCTTTTACGACTATATAGCACTTGGAAGGGATCAGGATAACGATTTGGGAGGGGATAGAGGGAAGGAATGGTGCCCAACCTCTTGGACGGTCGGGGATTGAACGCCGACCTGCAGGAACCCAGACCGTCGCTCTACCGTCCAGCCCAAGTGGTTTAGAGAGAGAGAGAGAGAGAGAGAGAGAGAGAGAGAGAGAGAGAGAGAGAGAGAGAGAGAGAGAGAGAGAGAGAGAGAGAGAGAGAGAGAGAGAGAGAGAGAGAGAGAGAGAGACAGACAGACAGACAGAGAGACAGACGTACATACATCTATTTTATAGATATAAATACTGAGTATTTCACTAGTGAGGGAAATCACACTAACATGGGTTGAAATAAGGGTAAGAGAGATTGCTGCGTGCACGCTGACCAAGATACTGACTAGACCAAGAATCAGTT